GACTGCAGGAGGTGACATGGTCATACCTTATGGCCCAACTCTAATGCTTTTCTTGGCCCCATTTTAATGATTTTTCAACCTAAAAGGCAAACTATCTTCATTCTCAAAATTTCACTCTAAAAAGGATTTCTTACTTTCCTATTGCTGGATGTGCCTGGTTCTATTCCTCAAGCATAAGAAATTGTGGACTGATCCATTTTTCCTCGGCACTAAAATTATTTAGGGCTTTCTTTGCATTTACTTGGCCCAGTTATAAATAAATTCCAACATGTATCTCATGTTGCTGCTTTAGCTATAATAGTAAATTTGTTTCACTTAATAAAGTAAGAAATGAGGTGAAGTCAAGAGGTGTAATTTACTATTAAGAACAAACATTTAGCAGGTGCTGAGAAGACCACTCCTCCAGCCAGTATCCAGTGTCAGTTACAGATTACATGTTCTAGGAAATCTGAAATGTAAATGGTATGTATTTTGGTTTTTCTAATCTTTGGCTTCATGTGCAACGAGCGAATCTGGACTGGACTAAGGTTTCTTCCGATCCCCCTTCTTTCCCGTGAGCCTTTCTTGTCAGCCCTCCCCTTGTCCGCTCGGCACATCTTCAGCCATATTTCTCGGCTCAGTGCTGTTGCCGGCAAACGGTAAATTAGTAAATATTTGTTGAATTTGTTTTGGAACTCAAGCAAGGAAATGTATCATATCTGGAGAAATAACACCCGTCCAAGTATCAGAAAATTAGCTGAAGAAGATTTGATCATGGTAACAGTAATTGCGATAGTTGGCTTAAAATGATTGCTTTGTACTTGCTCACCTCTCTACTAGAAGCTTTAATGATATAATCTCATTTTAGATTAGTTTAATCAACATGATATCAAGCACCGTGACCTCTATTTGACAGGCCAATAAACTGAGGCTTTGAGAAGAAAGTAATATATCCATAGCCGCATAGCTACCCCAGTGAAATACATGCTTAATAGCTGTTAGCTGTGGATCTACTTCACTGGGATTAATATGCATGTATATGCAAAGCTAATATTAATGCCTTTGTTTCCCTTGTACTTTCATTCTTCATATTTTGTTTATTAAATATGAGAATTTTAACAGGCGCTAAGTTCTCTTCAAGCTTTAAAGATGTCTCAGATATGTCACACGTAGCTCAAGAAAATCTGCAGCTCAGCTCTGCTTGTTGAGTGAAACCCTAGCAAAGGCAGGGGAAAGACTTTCCAAGCTGGAAGCTCCAGGCCCTTGAGAGTAAAAGGACAGGGATTTAGGGGGAGCTAGAATCTTACTAAAGTTTTTTAGACACCCTAAATGTAGAATTAACATTGTATCCTTTTCAGCTAACATTTACCTGCCCAAGACTATATACTCATGGAAATCTCAAACAATCCCTATCAGACAAAGCAAATATTATTCTACATTAATAGATGAGAAAACCAAGCTTAACTTGCTCAGGTTGACATAGCTATGATATGGTAAAGCTGGGACCCAAACTGGATATTTTCAACTATGAAACCTATTGTTTTATGGGTACACTGTTAGTGAATTGTTTTTAGCTTACTTTCTGTATAATTCTACTGATGTCAGTGTCATTTTTGTCACTCATTTTTAAGTAAAGCCCATGGGATGTGGACCTGAAATCTGCTTAGGTTGTTTGCTAGCTCATATCTCAGTGCTGCGCATGTGGTGACACTTAGCAGGTATCTCATGATGCATACTTTTGAGTGCAATTAAATACCTTTGGATCATTCTCAGTCACATGTCTGTGTGTTTCAAACTCGGCTTTCCTCTTCTGCTAGATATTTCTTTCTACCCAAAGTGGAGAAATTAACAGGCACCAAAAGAAAATAGACAATCCACACCTATACGCAGATTTGCAAACTCTGACCTGAGAAAAATCTCCACAGAGAAAAGTGTCTGGATGGGTGACTGACATAATAGAAATGCCTCCTCCCTGAATGTGTTCCCACAGTTCACTTCATACTTATTAGAAGGGATTATTGACACTTGCAGAAGATACAATCTCAGGAACCCTGATAGCAAATTAACTTTGGTATTAAGAATAATTGAAGTTAGATGTTACTCCGTGCACTTGGACAGCCTAATTTTCATTTTAACTCTCAGTTATATTGGACCCTATTATTAATCTCCTTGCATATATCAAAAAAATTCACATGTATTTCTCTTTTGTTTTTATCTTTGGAATGAAATGACTTCCAAATTAAGTTACATGGGAAGCTTGGAAGAGACTGTGGAAATGCTTGGAAAAGACTGTTTTAAATCTTGCAACTATTTGGAAGGGGAGGATATTTTCAAAGCCATAATTTTTTATCAAGTAAGCATTAACTCATTTTTATTTTATCCAACCATACATTTTGTGAAACAGTACGAACAAGGTGTGTGCTATTTTTCTCAAACCAAATTCTTCCCAACAAAATCCAACTGCAATATTCATTTAGAAATTTGATAATGCTCTCTTGTGTGAGTTTTAGGAATATTTGAAACCCCACTGCATATAAATTATATCATGGAAAAGCTGTATAAATATTCTATTATGGCACATGGTGTTCTAAGGATCTGTCAGGATTTCCTTTATACACTCCATTTTGAGTGGTATATAAATCAGATGTAAAAATTCGTCTTGGACTGGAACTCTGCACAAAAAAAACCTCCTCTAGAGGCAAATGCTTTTTTCAAAGTGTGGTTTGAATTATGTTGGTCATTTTTAAGTTATAGAAGTGCAGAAAATGTATTTGTGGTTTTGAAGGAGGGAGATTTTTTCCATTTTTATAACTCATTAGGAAACTTTACAGGCCTTTAGACCATTTTGTGGTTTAGTTCTTCTTGAGATTTTTTCCCCAAAGCAGTATTAAAACTTGAATGGTGTCTGCTATGAATCCAGTGATTACTGTTCTGAATACAAATGTAAGTGGGGATATATATATATATATATATATATATATATATATATATATATATATATTCAACCAGGAGACATTCCAAAAATATGATTTAAGTAGAAGATTGGGCCTATCACTTGCTTATTCTTTGCCCTTGGAATCAAATTAAATTTGGCTTAACAAAATAATCCACTTCCTAACCATAGTCCAAAATGTGTTGCTTTTAATTGTAAAGTTACCTCTTCATTCATAGAAAAATCCGTTAAGTTAAACTCTGCTTCTTTTATGGACTCTTTAAGGCTGTGAGTTCCTGAAATGTTTTCCTCTAACACATAAAGCAAATTGCAACACTCTTAAAAAGTATTCACTGATTATAATCTCACTTTTAAAAGTTTCAAATTTTCATATGCATATGTATAGAAATCAGTTTGCTAAATAGCATTAAATTCTTTTGATGATATGGTTAACATACTACTAAGTCGTTTCATAAAAATTGAAATTATTATTTTAGCACAAATAACATTATGATTATATTATCTCTCTCAGTATCATGAGTAAAAAATCAAAGAGTGCTGGTTTTGGGCTAAGAAAGTGGTCATAATTCACAAAGTTGATTACCTACTCTTTCAATTAACTTTATGGGGAAATAAAAACGGAAATATTTTCTGTGTTTGAATTGGCTGAACCTACACAACGTTTAGTTAATTAATGCATTAGAACAATACATTTAGTAATTAGAATTTTTTCTTTGTACATTTTCTTTTTTTATTTTAAGGGACAAAAGAGACCAAAACAATAAAACAATACAAAATTTCAGGGGCTGGGGATTTAGCTCAGCGGCAAAGCGCCTGCCTCGCAAGTGCAAGGTCGTGAGTTCGGTTCCCGGTACCGGAGAAAAACCAAAAAAAAAAAAAATTTCAAAACAGGATGATAGGAAATTAACGATGGTTATTATATTGCATATTGTTATCATAATTATAGTTTGTTGCTTTGTATATGAAAACATGAAGAGGTTAAAAATTTCCCAATGTTGCATTTTATTTTTTAGTTAAATTTGGCTTAAAGAATTGGAATCTGGATACCTTTCTTCTAATACAGTTCCCTCTTTGCTATTTTATTTCTGTGGCTGTTACTAAAATCTTTGGGTTTAGGGACAGTTAGGAAGAATCACTGAGAGGATAATCAAGCATTTGCCTGTAGATAGAGCAGCGGTGGAGACTTTTCCTCTGGGGCCCCGTGAGGAGCAGGGGTCTAACTCCGCTTGACTATTTCAGCTAGTAACCTGGTGTCATGGAAATTAGCCAGCTCTCCAGGACAGAGAGAGGTGAAAGTCAGTGGGGTTCCTCTTCTTTCCCTTTCTGTTTTTTTAAATTAATAAGAAAGCAGGGTTACTAATGAGGGGTTACATCCCAAATCTCTAATCTGTGTAGCTGAGTATCTTTATTTCTATTTGGGTCACTTTTTATTGCACTGAATTCACTTTTACCTAAATTATACTAATATGTGTTCCATACCGTTGCATTGTTGCGATAATAAAATTTTACATGTAGTTTATACATCCCTCACATGCTTCCGTCTTTCTGTTCATTTCCCATTAAAGCCATACCTCTTATTATTTAACTCAACACAACTCAATCCAAACGTCTTTGTATGACTCAAACGGTCAGTAAAATGTTTCCTTTGACATTCAGAGGAAGTTTGCAAATTTCTGAGCAGCATTAAGTATATATTGAAATACAGTTTTATATTAGTCAAAAATGTTTCATTTCATATAATTTAAAAGGTACCAAAAAGAGATATACATTAAATGTCAAAAAGTTGTTACACCTTTAAAATGAATTTATAACTCATGAAGCAAGTAATACAGACATTGCTCTTCCCCATTCATCTCTGATTTTACAACCATAATTTTCCTAGCATTGGAGAAATAATTGCACCGTGCTCTTTTTAAATAACACTGACCTTGTTAAAATCTGACATCATTGTTTTTACATAGCGAGCATATACTTTTCATAGAAAGGTTATTTTCTTACAGCATGGGAAGTAAATAATGACATACATTTTAAAGATAATGAATAAAAAGAATGTATAATATACTCTCACCTTGATTTTACCTTTAAGCAGCCCTTTTTTTGTCTACTAGAAACTTCTTCCCGTGGCTTTTCAGGCTCTGGCTCTTGTTCTTTCTTTTGACAAAGCAATATATAATTTGCGCCATTATTATTTGACCAAAATGTACCAATAGAAGTTTCATAACGTATACAAAACTCAACTTTACTGCCATCTTTTTGGTAAGGAGGAACCAGTGAAATCTTAAAGGAGAACTGATCAGTTTCACCATCACATGAATTAGGAACATATTCGGCTAAAATGTCATAATATGTCTGCCAGTCATCTAACGACATTCTCACATAGACTAACTTCTCAAAAGAAACATTCAAAACTCGAATAATACCCTTCATACTGGTCGACCCAGGAGGATATTCAGTTGACTCCAGTATTGCTTTCTGTACTTGAAGCTGTTGCATAAGATCTTCTTTTGAGGAGGGCAAGTCAAAGAGTGGAGATAAAATATATTCTTCTGTGTGAAAAATATCCTTCCTTAACTCAAACTCTGTGGAAACACTCGGTAATTCCCAAGAATCAAATTCTTTAATGGACACAAGATTGAATCCAAAGGTGTCGGCAAACGAAACCCTTCTGGTACCTGAAGTTGAATTGTCCAGGTACATGTCTTCCGAAGACTCAGAACTTCTTCTACTTGGTTGAGGGGAGAAGCCAGGTCTGAAGGTGGTTTTAACTTCTTCATCTTCACCCGCAGAATCGGGTAAGTTAGGAACTTCTAAAAAATTATCTTTGCTAATCTGACTGGGTACTTCAGCAGGCTCCATTGGGCTCTCTGATATCAAATAAGAGAGAACTGTACAACTAGTAGGGGCTGACATTTGAGAAACGCAGGCTTAAAATAAGTGTTGTGTTACAGTTGACATTGCAGAAAGCAGTCAGGTCTATAAATAGGCCCGAAGGCGTGCAAACTATGCTAGCCTGCCTCCAACGGCCTTTAATATGATAGTGTCCACGGTACGCTCGCCAGTGTGTTTCAGATTTAACGCTCGGTTTTTAAAGTTGCATTTGTTTATGAGCTGAATTCCAAAGCGATATTTCAAAATCATTTGTCACTGTTAGAAATTCTAAAAGTGAAGGATAAAACCATTATGGTAATCAGTTGATATTAAAAATAGAGTCTTAGAACATTTTCAGAAGGAAATGAATGTAGTAAAACAGTGCTGAATATATAGCTCAACCTCAATCAATCTTTGGGGCAGGCAAGGACAGAAAAGGGAATCTAAAAACATCTATGGATATGCAGAGGTAGGAAGCCGGCTAATGATGATAACTACCATTATGAAGCCTTAGAATGTAAAAATGTTTGATGTAAGAGGATTAAACGGCAGTGCTAAAGACTTAGGGGAATGAAGCACGATTTAGATGAGGAAGGTAGTATTTTACGTAGACTATGAGGAGGAGGCTAAATTTACAGATGCGAGGTTGGAGTGAGGTAGATCTTCCAGGAGGAAGAACCAGCATGAGACAGGATCTGGAACACAGAATTAACCAAATCTGTGATTTTAAATATTACTAAGTTTCTTTTCATTAAGCCATGGGAAAATACAGCAATTCGTGCATTACTAACTTAAAACTGTAAGTTTGCAAAGGCGAGTCCGATCCAGGAATAAAATATAAAAATATTCATCTTTGGCAAATTGCCCTCTCATGCACACAAAGTAAAAATGGACACCTTTGCCTCTTGGAGTTCAACATGAATTTTAAAGTGCTATCAGCCTGTTGGGAATCTCACACATTTTTATGTGCTAATGGAGAATGTTCTTTAGGGATGGCCATTTGGTAAACGCTATAAAAATTTTAAATATATGTGTGTGTGTGTGTGCCCAGAAATTCCCCAACTAAAAATCTGTCCTATTGGTATTGAATGTATACAAAGGTAAATGTAGATACATGTTCATAACAAAATGTCTCTTTAAAATCTTTAGAAGCTATCTAATTGTCCACCAATGGGGAACTGGGTAAGTAAAATTGTACTCTTATGTTAGAATGTTTCACATTTGTCAGAAAGGATAAAGTAGCATCTATGTACCGCTATGGGTAATATAGCTACAATAAATGACCAAATAAAAAAGGAAAATCTGCACAAATATGTACGTAGAAAATTCCTGGTAAGATACAAAAGAAAATGTTCCTAGTGCTTACCTTGAAGAAGGCAGGGGGGGCAAGGGTCCCAGTGAATTTCACTGCATAGTCCTCTGCAGTGTTGGAAATGTTAGACACGAGCATGATTTTCTTTTAAAATATCTATAAATTGATTATATTATATTGAAAAAATCAAGTGTTAAGAGTGGCTAATTGTTTTTCTGAAAAGAACAGCATTCATTTCTTTTAAATTTCTTTTAAATAAGAACTTTACAAATATGATGCATTGGATAATTTGAATCACATAAAATAGTGTATGGAGAATTTATTTTTCAAAATTACAAAGAAATATTATTTGAGAGGACAAGGAAACAAAATTATTTGAACTTTGCCTCAATCACAAAGCCGGAATGGGTGATTAGAACAAGAATTGCCCAAGAATGGCAAATGACTATGCCCTTGGAAATTTGATGACTAGGAACAGACATATTTCAAGGCAGCTAAAATATGTCCATATGTAATCAAGGAAATTAGCCACAAATATTCATAGAATCTATAAAATAATCCACATGGACACATAAATAATAGAATAATGAACATTTACATGTAATAAGGTCTTAGTGTAATTTGGCTAGTAATGGGGATGAAGATCCTTGGGTCTGGATCCTGGCTCTAATATTTACTCTTTGGATGACCTTGAGAATACTGCTTAAATCGTGTAAACCTCAGTCCCATTAACTACAATGTGGCGTTAATAATTAAGCTACTTGGTACTTGACTAGCACAAAACCTATAGTAATAGTAGCAATCATTATTTTTATTCCTATATATGATTGTGAAAGCCTGATTCCTGATGTATAACAAATAGATAAATGTGGGTTGGTAGATGACAGAGAGAAGAGAAAAATACATATATAGCATTAGGAAACTATGTGCAATTTGTTTCATCTTTGTCTTTTTCAAAGATTATAGTATGTAATGCTTTAGCCTTATGAAACACAAAATCTCTGTACATTAGAAAATGATCCTGTTATTTGGTCTAAACTTTGCCCTTTTTAATGTGTCTCTTTACACACAGAACTTCTCCTGTGATTTGTAGTAATCACTGCCTTTCTTTTGGAATTTATAACCTTCACATCATTGTAGACAGTTGACACGCTCCCTTCAAGTCAGCACTTAGCTGAAACATAGTGATTTCATCTTTTCAATCTGTTCTCACATGTCAATCTTCCAGTAAGTTTTTTTTTTATCATTTTGTTATTCTTCTATGAATGCCTCCCAGCTTTCCTTTATTTTTCTATTAATGAGCTGCCTCCTGATGAAATGTAAGATCACAGATCAAGTGTCTCTGGAGCATAGAAAGAAACACTACCAGCCTCACCTTTCTGACTTCATGGCTGTATTTAGTTAAAATTCACAATTCCTTGCTTCATTTCCATATCACAGATCAGATCAACATCCTATTTTCTCATACCCACTACTATAATGGCTCAATTTCAGTATAACTTTTAACACACTCTTTCTCAGCTGCTTAGGCATATTGTTGTTTGCAGAATGAGATTGTTTTTCTTCTTACAAATCAAGGTAAATAAGATGCTTGGTACCTGACTAGCACAAAAACCTATAGTAATAGTAGCAATCATTTTTTTTAATACACCCCCCCTTTCTTTATTAACCAAAGATTCTCAAAGGTACTTTTAACACAAACATCATATCAGTCAAGATGCCAGTAAGTAGGACATAGACAGCATGCTCAAATAAGATAACTCCAAGAGGGTTTATTTACAAGGGTCTATTTATAAAGTGTAAACACAGAAAAGCCACAAGGGCTAGTGTGACACGCTGAGGCTGGTGGCATAGGAGTTACTACAATTCCTCAAGGGAGAGGAAGGGAAAAAAATGTCAGACCTCAAAAGCAGAAAGGGACATAAAGAGTTTATGGGTCAGAAACCTGGTTGGAGGACACAGCCAGTTTAAGATGAATCTTGCCAGGCGTAACCTAGATGAATAAGTATACTGAATTCACTCCTCTTCCCTATGATGTTCAACCAGCATTATCCACTAGTCAGAGGGCATCAGGGTTATTACAGTTCATTCAGATTAGGCTCCTAGGGGACAGAGCAGAATAGAAAATGCTGAACAGAGCAGCAACTAAATTTCAAAGAGCAAATAGAAGATACCAAGGGCTAACTATGCATTTATATGTTGTATTCAATACTATACATATTATATAAACATGTAGATCTTATATGTGTTCCTTTATAAACAGTATGATTGAAATATATGCTACATACTTAATTTTAAAAAATGTATTACTCTAAAAGACACATTGCTATTAATCTCCCTCAAAATAGTCCTCCTTCCCTCTAACATCTTATAACATCATTTTTGCCATTTTTGAGGCAGTTCTGGGAGTTCTCTCTTTACAAGGTTTGATCAAGGTATGATCAAAACTACAGTGCATGCCTGGCAAAAACACTGTGCGTCTTCATCCAGCTCACTGACTGGATCTGGCACCCCTCAGCTTCCTGCTCTTCCCCAAAGTCTTAATCGCCATGACAGGTACATATCTGAATAGATGCTGGACATCGAGGGGGCCACTCCAGGTAGCTGGCTGACAGGAAAGAGCCCTTTCAGAGCTGCTTCAGAAAATGGCAGGAGTGATGGGATAAATATATTCAAAGTCAGGAGTATTCTGAGGGTGATTAAGGGTTGCCAGCCCTCTTGGGGGGCCCAAGGGAGATTTTCTTGGATGAGGTCCCAAGGTTAGAGAACACACGTGTGCAAGACATCAGCAACAGCAGGCAGTGTGGAGCAGAGCAGAGTGCAAGAGAGCCGCCTGTGTCTTCAGTGTATAATTCTCATACAGGTTGTTACCTCATGTTTACATTCTTATAGAGTGTCCTCACAGTACATGCGTGTTCACCTATGCTAAGTCATGGTGACATAATTATCCCACTGTGCGCCTGCATGAGACAAGTGGGGTCATGTCCTCAGGTGTCGTTAAACACCCCTGAGCTTTGAAACAGTCTAAGCAGTTCCTAACATCCCACCCTCTCAAAGGTCAGGAGTACACAAATGTAACATTCTATATGTAACAGGGCACAAGCACCTCCTTGCCTAGTAGTTACCACTTTCTCATTTGAACTGTTTCATCCGCAAGCAACATCAAAGCCTGGCACGTAACGTTCAAGGCCTGGGCCATACAATATTGAGCATGGGCTTCAACTTGGAGGGCTAAGTTTACGGTCTCTGCCCATGGTCAGATGTTATGCCTTACCACATCTCATGTGTGGTAGTCAATATTTCTGGTTGAACACTACTCCTACCAGTTATCCCTTGCAATGCCTGGTCAAGACATCTGCGAAGTCATTTCCCAGAGAGGGGAGGGGCTTATGTCCTGAACCATGAGAGCCTACATGGTCAACCTTTGGGCCACACTCCCATAAGTCTCACCATAAGTCTACACCCCACAAGGGACAGTGCCCTACCTGTCACTCCTGAGCCACCAGAGCATCAGGCCCCTCAAGATGGCCCAACTGTCCATGTGCATACGTAAGATTTTTTTCACGAATCACCAGCAGTCACACTGTCCACAACCCTGCCCATTGGCTTGACCTGTCTGCTCTGGTTTCAAACCGGAGCACTTCCACACTGGGATCAACAGCAACTACAGTCCATTACAAGTCTGGGTCAGGCCTAACCCCTTC